GTGTATGTATATCTCCAAAGGGGCACAATAAGTATGGGTCATGAGATTAATCTTTTATTAATTAAAAAAAAGATATTACAAGATTTACTTTTTAAAATGTGCATTCTTCCCTTAATCTATAATTTGGAGAAATAATGTTGTTATAACCATTTAATGATCTGATAACCCTTTGCACCGTTAAATTAAACCATATGAGAAGTCTGGAAAAGATGTGAAGAAATTGTCATTGTGAGCTCATTTATAAGCTTATTATCTGTACGTATGATGAAATCCTGTCTGAAAAATAACAACAACTGTTAGATAAACTCTGATATGCTGAAACCCCAATAATCCCCTATTGAAATGTAGTGAAGTAAGCAAGGATAAATAAAAAATGAGCTAGTCTGTGCCTAAAATCAGTGTAGTCTACTTAGCTGTTGTGTTTTGGCACTGCAGTGGCTTTAAGCAAGAATTAAAGTTAGAAATATCTATCTATCTATCTATCTATCTATCTATCTATCTATCTATCTATCTATCTATCTATCTATCTATCTATCTATCTATCTATCTATCAAAGAAAAAAATAAAATAACAAAGTGACCACTAGTGGGCGCCCATGCATTTCCATAGTACTGAAACTAGCAGGCTGACTTGTCTTCACTCACCTCCTCGGCTGCTATCTGTACTTCCTGGAAACGCGTTCAGAAAAACAGCCTTGGTGGACTTATCATCGTTTCATACTGCCTTTTTTATATACACAAAAAGACGACAGTTGACCTTTAATGTCACAAAATTACCAATGATAACGTAAACAGGACAGCGAGGCGGAGGGCGAGGAACAGAAGTGGAAGAGAAAGGTGAGCTAATGAGACTACAGTGGTGCCACTACTAAAGGGTCAACCTGTGACTTAAAATACTTTTATCCGGTCGCATTGTAAACATTGAGCTCGGCGGTGTGAACCGATTTTACTGTAACATTTGAAAGGAAGACAGGCTGGAAGTGTGTCGCTTGTTAAGCTCTGTTGTTTCCGTGTTTCCTCTCAGAGCGCCACGTCATTAATCGGCGGATGAGTTTGGTCCCAGCTGTGCGCTGCCGTCACTCCTGCAGCTTGCTGCTGTCCCGCTTTGCTTGACATTTTCTTACCGAAGGAGGAAGAAGCGTCGCTTAGGAGATTAAAGATGACGGCGTCCAACTCGGGCCTCATCATGAACGTGGTGAACAGCATCGTTGGAGTCAGTGTGCTCACCATGCCCTTCTGCTTCAAACAGGTGGGTCTGCTGCTGCGACGCTTACCTTGCGGGACTTGTCCTTAAGTCTCTCCGAAAACCCCCACTCTCTGTTAAAATATTTGCAGGATCAGAGGGAATGCTCAAATCCCTTTCTCCTCCTTTTGTCATATTAGGTCATAATCTTGTTTCACAAACGTTTTAGTAAGGTACAACAGGTAAACAGGTGTTACTAAGCACCTGAAGTGAACAAGGCCTTTATTAATATCATTAGTAACATTAGTAACTTATACATCTTTCATAAGAAAGGGACTGCTGGGAAAAAGATCTGCTGTTACTGCATTCATCTTCTAATTTTTAAAAGGAAAACTCACTTTAACATATTAACAGTGTTATTCACTGTCAGGTAGCTTCATTTTTACCAGTACAAATATAATATATATCAATGTCAAAGGGTTATATGATTGAATAAGAAATACATTATTTGCCTCTTAAAGGTAGTAGAGTAGAAGAATAACAACAAAAGGAGATATAAAAGTGAATAAGCATGACGGGATATTAATGAGTGACTGTGAGAATCGCCAGCTTCCTCAGAATGTCAGTGAGCACTTGGTAAGCAGCATCTCCATCCATCAGCAGCACTTTTCATAGAGAGATGAATTTATATCATCACTATCACAATATGAAATTAGGAGGTGTTTTTATGTGAAGGATTTCACCCTTTGGGGAGCACAGTGGTGCTCGGTTTCATCAGTGCTCTCCGGGTACTCTGGTTTCCTCGAATGTTAGGTTCTCAGCCTATGACAGCAGGGATGGAGCAGATTTAGCAGATTTATCTTGGAGGATATCTCCACTTTCTATGAACATGTAATGCCTTCACATTGCATTTAGTGCTTTATTACATGATTTTTCTTTTTAGTCAACTAAGCTATTCCCAAACTTTTAACTTTGTCATGCCTTTTTAGCACCACTACACGTTTGGAGATATACACACAATGATCAGCATGTCAAGTCATGCCAAGTGTGCTTGTATTCGTTTTGGCTGTTCCTTTCTGTAGGCCTAGCATCAGAATCTTTTCCAGGGTATACTTGTTTTACAGCTGGCTGAAGGTTTCCTCCCCTGTATTGTGCTTCTAAGTAGTTTGAAGAAAGAAATATTGTTGTTTGAAGTTTAAGAACGATCTCATTTGAATTGGCTTGAGGACACGCCTGCTAACTTTCCATCTGTCTTCTCACAGTGTGGGATAGTGCTGGGAACTATCCTGCTGTTCTTCTGTTCATGGATGACCCACAAGTCTTGTATGTTTCTGGTCCACACGGCCAGCAGCACCAAACGAAGGACCTATGCTGGACTGGGTGAGCTAAAGTGGCAAACGAGAGAAATATTTACTTGTATTCATTTTGTTCTGTTATGTAATGTTTTCAGTCGCCAGTATGTTTGTGGAAAAGCCTGATATTTTACAGAGAATGGTGCCCATTTTAAGCAACAGCTGATTCCTGGTTAAAGTGGCAAAAGAAGTTGTTACTTGTCACTAGTTCTGCGAACAGTTATGAGCAAATAACTGTTCACAGAACGTTATTTGCTTATAACGATGTTAGATGACATCAAGTGCAGAAGTATCAATAACAGTAAAGTAAACAAATCTCTGCCCACAAGGACAATATTTAAGCTGCTTCCATATGTGTTACAAACGATGAATGAGCACATTTAATCTTGTTTGATTGTTAGTTTTATCAGGACGGAATATTTTTAGCGCACTGCCCTCTGTTTTTCTGCATGTTGCTCACACTGAGGGCACTTTTATTCTTTGCAGCCTTCCACGCTTACGGGAAACCAGGAAAAGCACTGGTGGAAACGAGGCAAGTTCATTGACAAATTTTAGTTTCTGCCTATCAGTAATACAGTTGTTGGATCACTGGAACATTTTAGATGTTCAGTGGAAACAATGGATCCATTACAATGGATATTTAGATTATGCATTGTAGATCATGTTTAAAAACACACATTTTCACAAGGTTTCTCTTGTCTCTCTTTTTTTGTGTCCCTGCAGCATGATCGGTTTGATGTTGGGGACCTGTATCGCCTTCTATGTTGTCATTGCTGATTTGGGCTCAAATTTCTTTGCTCAGCTGTTGGGTTTACAGGTTTGATATCATGATTTTGTTGCTACTCGCTTCTACTCTTTCATAATTTTAGGCTTTTGCGACCAACACTTGTAATAAATGTTGAATGGAGTCAATCAAAAAATCTGTTGTGAAAACAGGAAAAATACTGAAACTAAGCAAGTGTGTTGTTTTGTCACTCTGTTGTGTATAGGTGACCGGCAGTTTTCGCGTGCTGTTGCTGATTATAGTGTCGCTGTTCATCGTACTCCCTCTGAGTCTGCAGAGGAACATGATGGCCACTCTGCAGTCCTTCTCAGCTATGGCGTTGATGTTCTACACCCTCTTCATGTTCACGGTTAGCCCACCAACACACACACACACATACATCTAAACTTTACACAGTGCATGTGAATAGGCTGTAGCAGAAATTCTTTTTGGTTGTAGATCTTGAGAAGCAAATAGTTGAAGCGTAATTATCAGTAAAAAAGATTTAAAATGATTGTTTTTGTTGCCTGTCTGTTAGTACAGCATGTAGAGTACAAATAGATTTAAAGCATGTGTAAGTTGCAGCACAGCTTATTAGCCATGGTTGCTTATTTGATTTTCAAAATGTTATTTGGCCAAGTGGTCGTTTTGTTGTCTTCCCTGTTAATTCTTTCTTACGCGCACCATTGTACAGAGCTGTGACATCCTCGTGCAATGCAATATTGTCTTGCTCCTATTTTTAAAGAGAAAATCTGCATGAAATCATTTGAGACAGAGAACAGTTGCTGCGCTGCTCGTTATAGACTGAAAAAAGGCTCTGCCCTGGGAAGGCACTACTTGGAAATGGCCACAAGAGACATTAAAAGTTGTGTAAATGGAAAGTAAGTGGAGAATAAATGGTCAGTTGCAATAAACATCAAACTCAATTGTAGAACAGAAACTCCCACATATGTCCGATTTATTTTACATATATCAAACTTAAACTTTTGGCTGTTTATGCAGCATGTAAAATGCTTTTTTTTCTTTAAAGATCAAACAGTGTGTGTGCATATCTTTCTGGAGCAGCTAGTCAGCACTGATTGACAGCACCACCACATCAGCTGGCTGCGGTAGTAACTACTGGGACATAGTTTCCTTTAAGAAATCCAAATATAACCTTCAAGTTTGTGAAGTTACATAAATTACAACTTTTGCTCTGTAGCCAAGCCCAATGTTTAAATGAAGCTTCACTTCTGGCCACAGTAACTGCATGTCATGCATGTGGAGTTCAGTCTAAATAGGCGTCAGTGCAGCACGGAGCACATTTCTTGCAACAGATTTCAGAATTTTGAACAGCTTCTAAAAGAAGTGCAGTTGTATGCCACGAAGGCGAAATTTATGGTTCAGCAGGAAGAGCGCGTTCACAGTCCGCTGGCAGGGCGGAGATGGCCTGTTGGCCTGCAGGGAACTATGCACGTTTTCTCCTTTTAACAACAGAGAATGTGGTACAACCGGTCTGTGGGCCACTCTTGCTGGTGTTGTTGTTGGTCTATCAGGCCGACGCAGAGAAAAGCAAAGTTCTAGCATACAACAAGCCGAACTGTTAAAAACAATGAAAAGTGTCCATTTGAGACACTATCTGTGCTTTGCATACTTTATTTTTTGATCTTTGAAGTTATTTCATGTTTCTCCCATTCGCGATAACCTCCGCTGTTGCTCGCGCCACTATTTTGGCCCACACAACAACACACGAAAGCACGTCTGGTCCGTAAAAACCTCTCTGCACCCCATCCAAGCAAAAGCGTGTATGCAGACATGCACTCTGGTGGGACCAGAAATGATGCTTTATGCAGCACGTTCTGATAGAACCGTAGGAGCACGCTGCCATTTGCATTTGCACACAGCCCCCTGCACAAGATGCATTTAGTCTGAAGTGTGGTCAGAGGTGAAAAGTTTGAGTGTAGAAACCATCCAGCAGCAGTTTTCTGGCTCATGTGATTCAACTCATTTACTCTTTAAATATGCACACACAGTTGGTGCGTGCATGCGTGGGTAGCTCTGTTTTACTGACCTGCCGTACTGGTTCCACAGACTTCAAAATGCTGTTTGTACTATTTCTGTGTGATGTGAGTTCTAGCTCTGTGGCATGTCGATAAGGTGGAACAGTGGTGTGGTGTGTGTCCGGCTTTAGATCCAGGCCCAGCCCGGCCCAGACCCCTAACCATCTAACAGTGATGTACCTGCTTCCCTCCCTTTTTCATCCTACCATTAATTGTCCCCCTCTTTCGTTTCTCTCCATTGTACTACTTTACTTCTTTCTTTCCCATCTTGTCTCTCTCGTCCTTCTGCCCACCATCACTCTTTCACTCCACTCTCCTCATCTTTCCGCACCCTTTGTTTGCTCCCTCCCACCCCCTCCTTTTCCGCTGCTGTTTCTGCTTCTGGTGCTGTAGATAGTGTTGTCGTCTCTGCGCTACGGCATAATCTCGGGCTCCTGGGTGGAGCGAGTTCACCTGTGGCGCTTCAAGGGGGTCATTCAGTGCCTGCCTATTATCGCCACAACCTTCTGCTGTCACCCGTAAGTAAACCATGGAATCCACCCCCCTCCCCCTCCCCAAAAAATATAACATACCACTGTAAGGCGGTGGGGACGGAGAGGGGGTGAGTGAAGGAAGCGCGATGTTCCCCCCGCAGTGTGACACTCCTTACACCCTCCTCCGACCTACCTGAGCCTTCTTCCTCCTTCTTTCAATCATCCACAATCTCACCTTTGATTGTGATCTGGTCTGAGCCATTTGAGCTCTGTGTGTTTGTGTGTGTGTGTTTTTGGTGGCAGTAGTAATAAGGCAGAGAACATAGTGAAGTGACAGGCTCATTTTTGCTGCCCTTCACCTTCAGTCCTGGTCTGTGTGGGTGTGGCAGGTTTTCCTTTGGGATCTTATCAGGTGCTGTGAGGAGCAAGACAGAGCACATGCTGATGAAAACCTATGAATTAGTGTTTGTCTACGTATTCCTTTCATATGCCTCTTATTTCTTGCAAATTTATGATTTTTGCTTTTATTAATTTTGTATCATCTTCATTACTCCAGTTTTTCCACTACAGCAGGTTTTGTTCAGTGTGGGATTTCCTGTCACGTCTCTTTGTTATTTCCAGCTCTTCATTTTCTCTGGTTTTTCTCTCCCCATTTATTACTTTCATTATCTGTCTGTGAGCCATAAGCGAGGGTATTGTTCCCATTCTTCTTTTCACTCTTTCCCCAACTTTTCTCCATTTGGTTTGGGCTGTAACTCCCCCTTCCCCCCGCCTCCTTCCCCTCAGATGGTGCTGTCCTCGTTCAAACATGGGCTGCTCAGCGGCTGGTGGCTAGGGCACATCAATATGGTGCGCTGGGAGGGTGTGTTTCGCTGTCTCCCCATCTGTGGGATGGCCTTCGCCTGCCAGTCGTAAGTACTCCTCCACCTGTGCAGGATCACATGATGAAAGTAATGTCAACCACGACTAAATAGAATTCTGACGTTGGAAGCTCAGTGACCTATAGTGAACGTTCGATATTAGTCTTATAAATATGTGCAGTGCAACTCCCAAAACGTGGGCTTTTCCGCTCTTCCACACAGGGAACTAAATGTTTTATCGCTGCATGTAGAGAAAATTTCACAATTGGTGCATGAATACTCACAGCATTTTTTTAAAGCCACGGTGGAGGATTTGGGGTACAGAGAAACACAGATTTGTGGTGGAGATGGTTGATAAGGCATCGCTATTTGTAAAAAGAAGCTGCTTTTGTTGCTTAGATGTGCTTTCTTTAGTTTTAACCATCTGCGCTTACTTTTCGCTTTGTGTTTTCTAATTCAGTCAGAAAATGACGTAATCTGACACATTATAAGAAAAAATAAAATCAAGTGGATGGTTTAGATTTGCAAAAGCTGCAAAGTACTGGATGCTTTTTGAGAGGAAGGCATGTTGGATTTTTGAAGCTGACTATGCATTAGCTGCTGTCTATAAATATGCACCAGAGGTGTTGAAATATATGGCTATTGATGATAATCATGACATACAGAAGAAGCAATTGATAATATATGTGAGCAATCCATCACTAGCTTCTTCTTGCCTACACATATTATGCATTTTTAAAGTGAGGTGGTCACCTTACTTTAATAATCCATGAATTTTTCTGTAGCTGTGATAACTTCTCTCTTACACGCAGAGAGAGATTCACGTTCCACAACAATCCCACTAAATCAGACTGCAATGCTCACACAGGGAGAGTTAAGCTGTTGAGGAATTAATTCTTAATTTAGCTTCCGCGTTGTTGCCTTCTTGTGCCGCTGCTCCTCCTCTCTCCTCTGCATTCGTCAGCTAACACTAACGCCACACGAGACTCCGTTATTGTGCTTTAAGTCGCAGGTTTCTTCAGTTTGTTACTCACCTGATCGAGTCACAGCAGTCTGGTGCTCTAGTTAAAGTGCACTTTAAATAAAGTACCCCGCCTCTTAGCAAATGACAGCTGGAGTAGACTCGGGGAGCCCCAGTGATCTGGAATTGGATAAGTGGTTAAGGATAAAAGTGAATTCTTTTGGCCTTGATATTCGTGTGGTGAACATCTGATATCAACCCTAATATTAGCGAAAGTGAAAAATGATGGGGGGAAATGAGGTGTTCTTTTCACTTTCCAGCAATGTTTTATTAAGAAACGTGTTAGTGTAAAGACCCTGTTTGACTCCAGACCGCTGTGTGCCCAGCTGTGATGCTATACCGCTACATGTAATGGTAATAATGTATTTATTAGGTCAAAAGAGCTAGCAAAGTTTGAGCGTCCTATCGGTTGGGCTCTTATATGTAATGAATGCTGTGCTGCAGTCTTTACTAACAGTAAATAATAGGAAGGTTTCCAACACAGCGTTTGCATGCTGTTCACAATGCTCACTGGTTTATTTTCACTGATCACAGCTTCTTCTTCTTTACTGTCTCCATTTTCACTCATTTGCATGCTTTGTCACTGCCTCTTTTTGTCCTGTCCTCTACGCTTCAGTGCCCACTCTGGGCGTGCAGTGAGCTGAGCAGGTGGTTCAGCTCACTGCACCAGTATCCTGTTAGACATGAATGTCTAACAGGAGCAAGTTAATCTTTGGTGCTGCAGAGGGCTGTAGGGTGTTACGGTGAGGTCATCAGGGGCCAGATGTTTGGGTGGTGGCAGTGTATGGTTTTGTTTTGTGTGAGAAAGAGTGAGGTAAGTGATAGAAGTGGGCGACTGTAGCCTTTGGGAGTGAAACAAGACTTTTTAATTAATGTAATCACACAAAGCTAACATAACATTATGGTATGGCAGACAGGCGTGATCATTAGCAAGCGAGGTGTGCATGTGATCCAAGAAGAAGAAAGTATGAGCTTGTATGTGTTTATGTGTGCTTCCTCCGTCGTCCCACTAGTAGTGCTGAGTGATATTTGGCATGGCGATTTCTTGGCCTGTGGTAAGGCTGAGCGAGGCAAGCGCTCCGTTAGGCGGCAGGCAGCTTAAGCCAAACCACTAATCAACACATTGGACTGCCGCCATCTCACAGACACACTGATGTATTCACAGGCTGATTAAACAGCTCTCAGCACATTGGATTTTTATTACATTCATGAAATGTGTTTACTTTCAGTTAAAACATTACTTAACATCACCATTATGATGGGATGGGAGCTGGCCCTGTTGTTTTTTGGCTGAGCGTCTGAACAGCGAGGAGCAGTTAGCTCATAATAGAGGGACATAAGAAAAACATGTATGGCAGAAACATCTTTCTATGATGCTACTGCTGGTGTGTTTTCCAGTCCCATTTAATGACATTGTCTTCCACACACTCACTTCTCCCACAGTCAGTCTGCATCATATTTGAGATTTCATTGTGTTTAAGGACGAGCCTCCGAGTCAGGTCTATTGAGCAACCATTAGATGCTTTTGCACTGCGCTTGCAGTATAACGTTTTATTTAACATTTGGTTATAACATTAACTGGTTTCCACAGTAAATAAGCACAAGGAATGGCATCATGCTAGCTAATAAAGCTGAGTGTGTGAACAGAGAGTCAGGCAAAGGGAGAACAAAGGCCAGTGAAAGTTATGGTTTCTCTCTCTCTTCTGTCTTTTGCCTCTCACATGTATAAGAGAAAGGGAGGGAGAGAGTAAAAGGAGGCGAGTAAAAAGAGTCTGCCAGGAAAGTTTATAATGCTCTAAAACCTGTCCAGCCACTTGCAGTTATATATAAAGCCTGTAAATTCACTGGTTAATGTGCCGATGGTCCCCTCCACACTCCCACACTCGCCTTAAAGCACAGGACAGGAAATGATGAAAGGAGGTCGACACCTGTGTTAATAGACGAGCATTTCAGCCTCAGCCGGCCTTCACTACTGTCACCCATACTGTGTCTCTCACACACACGTACACAAACACATACGCAGAGGTATCTAGACAAACACTGGTGCATACATCACTACCACTGCCATTACATTACTTTCATCTACTGCCATCGTGAGAAATGACTGCAATAAAAAAATAAAACTTAAAGCATGAATTGATATTAATATGAATTAAGATTCATATTCTCAATATGAAGATTCCAATTGTTGAAAAACCTTAATTTAAATGATGTTGTATGATTGATTGAGTCGAATGACTTTTTAAAGTAGTTTGATTACATCTAAGTAGAAGATTGAAGTATTAATTTCAAATGTTTATTGATAATGGCATTGCATTCATATGTTTTTAATGGGCTAAACAAAGAAGATGAAATCGTGTAGATTAAACTATCCAGTGTTAGTTGGATATTGACAAGGACATGAGGGAAGAGATGCATCATTTGATTACTGAGCAGCGCAAATGGACCCCCATATGGCTGCTTAATAAAGGAACGCTACAGAGCGGTTTCTAAATTTGAAGTAAGTGGCCGTGAAGACTGTCATATTGCCAGCTGTTTGGGGGGACAAAAATCAAATGAAACATCTGTAGGACTACGTTCCTCGATCTCCGTGTTAGAACTGTTGCATTGTAGAATTTGTATGTCTGATAATTCAGACAGTATAAGATCACATTGCAACAATAGTGTTGTGCCATGCAGTATACAGGGTGTTTTTGGTTTTTTTTGGCTTACTATCTCTTACAGGCAAGTGCTACCAACCTACGACAGCCTCGATGAGCCGTCTGTTAAGCGCATGAGCACCATTTTCACTTCATCTCTCAACGTTGTTACCATCTTCTACATCACAGTGAGTGGAACCACTCTTTCTCAGTTGTGTTCACACCACTCCTATTTTGTAATATTAAAGAGTATCTGAGTTTACTTATCTTAAAATTTTAACAGGTCACTGCCAAAAAAGCTAATGACATGAGTTCACTTTTTTTAAGGTCTTTTAATGGGATTAGATTACACAATATCAGACTAATCTGGATGGTGTAAGGCAGCGGTCCCCAACCCCCGGGCTTCGGACCGGTACCGGTCCGTGAGTCGTTTGGTATCGGGCCGCAAGAGTTGAGGCTCAGGTGTGAAATGTATAGTTTTCAGGGTTTTTATCGGTTTTCAGCGTTATTTTGTTATCGTTTTTATCGTTTACTCGGTTTTCCTTGGTCTTTTCACGTGTGTTATGAATAAATTCTCTTTTTTTCGGTATCGGTACTAGTTTTATTTTGTTGTATTTATCCGCGACACCTTAAAGGCCGGTCCATGAAAATATTGTCGGGCATAAACCGGTCCGTGGCGCAAAAAAGGTTGGGGACCGCTGGTGTAAGGCATTGATTTGAATCTGGAGCTTGCAAATCAGTCAGTTATTCATAGACTGTATATAAAAGATGCAAACAGCCACCTTAACTTCACTCACTAGTTACCAAAGACTTGTCTTGATGGCTGATATTGGCATCAGAAACTATAAAGATTTCATCCATGTGTACACACTTTCACATTTAAAAGAAAAAAAAAGAAAACTCAGGAAATGAAAAAAATAAAATAAAAAAACAAGTTCTCCCATATTCATTTCTCCTTCTTTTTGCTTTTCCCCAAACACCACGTTTGGTTCTGTCTCCAGGTGGGTTTCTTTGGATACGTCAGCTTTACAGACAACATCGCAGGGAACGTGCTGATGAACTTTCCATCCAACCTGGTGACAGAGATGATACGCGTTGGTTTTATGATGTCTGTAGCTGTTGGATTTCCCATGATGATCCTGCCCTGCCGCCAGGCCATCAACACTATGCTTTTTGAGCAGCAAGTGAGTTCAGATATACTCAGACGCTCCCTTTGTCCTCTACATTTTAAAAAAGAAAGTCTTAATGCTTGTTTGCGTGATGGTTTTCTCACTTTACTGAATTGTTAATAGTAGAGGGATGAGAATTTGGATACAAATTAGATTGTGAAAGAGAACCTCCCATTCTTTCTTTCATGCAGTTTGAAGATGCATTTAGAAGTGTTTTGTGTAAACACGAACAGCAGGTGTTTCCCTGCTGTGCGCAGCATAAATGTATTGAATCTGTAATCAGTTTGTAAATGTGAGATTTGTTACATCACTAAATCCCCTCTTTAGTTCTTTTTTTCTATCTTACCGTTTTTGTCTTACAGCAGAAGGATGGGACATTTGCCGCTGGGGGTTACATGCCTCCTCTGCGCTTCAAGATGATCACCCTGTGCATTGTGTTTGGCACTATGCTGGGGGGCATTCTCATCCCCAACGGTACATACTTTGTGTGTGTGTGTGTGTGTGTGTGTGTGTGTGTGTGTGTGTGTGTGTGAAAAATTGGTTGTGGATTGCATGGACTAAAATAAAATGGTGTGTGTATGTGTGCTGCTCGCTGGAGGTCTTAAGGTGCATGTGTTCCTTTATGTGGGCGTAGCTGGGGAGCTTTACGATGTGTGTGAATGTGACTTTACGAGTCAGTGACTGTCACACTCTAACACAGTCCTTAAATCAGGGCCCTTACTTTTATCTCCTTTTAGATGGGCAGACAGGAAGATAGGGCTATTATTCTCCCGGACTCTTTCTCACACACTCGCACACAAACAAACGTCCAGTACACACCAGTATTGGCTCTCCGTCAGCTTCCTTAAGTCCTTGTCTCTCTCACAAAACGCTCCAAAATTGCATAGATGTGAAGCTTAGCATTATTTTGTGTTTTGTCCACCCACTGTTTGTTAAAGTTTTGATTGGGTGAACACGGAGACACACACAGAGCCGGTCAGATTGGCTCTTTGTGTATTTAATCAGGCTAATAGACTGCGGAGAAAGGAGGTAAGGACCCTGGGGGGAATGGGCACTAAATCTGAGGGAAACAATATGGTGTCCGTCCTCTAGATGAACGATGGGTTTCCGGGCTTGACGCCCAGTAGGCCCATTCGTTGTGACTTGGGTGTGGCCACGGCTCGCTGCTGCCAGCAGCAGTGTGCCACGGATGGCGTCTGTGAGGGGCCGTTATGAATCCAGTTTGTAATGAGGAGCCCAGATCTGGGACTCTAGCAGTCTTTTTTCACCCAGTCTTTTTTTGGCACAAAGAAACAGAACCGGTGCACTGAAACAGACAGAAATGCTTCAGCTCTGGTAACGTTGGTGCCATGTCGATTTAACAGTGTTTAGGTTGGTTTAATTAAGTTTTCATTGTACTGCAACATCTGGGGAGGCACACCTTGGATCTCCAAATCATTTTCCTGTTAGTTTAGTTGTTTTACCGCTTGTCGAGCCAACTTTTGTCCAGTTTGTTATAACCATTTCAGACATTTAAGCTAACTCTTTCAGCACTCTATCCATTAACATTTGGTGAGCACCTCTGTTTTGGAACTAGTGCACTACAGGCCCGCAGATTTTTTTTTAAACCAGTTTTCCTGTCTTTAGTGGAAACTATTCTGGGTCTGACTGGAGCCACCATGGGCAGCCTCATCTGCTTCATTTGTCCTGCTCTCATCTACAGAAAGATCCAAAAGAACGGCATCATTGCTCAGGTTAGAAGCTTTGAATCTGCACTTTTCCAGTATATTTATTTGGGGAAAATATTTTGTCTGACAATTTGTTGTTCTCCACTTCCTGTCCTGTAGCTGGTGCTTTTTGTTGGTCTGGGCATCCTGCTGATCAGCACCTTTACCACTCTCTCAATTTCGGCCAGTAGCCCCGGTCCAAGGATCCAACCTCCTCCTCCTGCACCTGGCAAGAACAGCCAGCAAGAACTACCAGACATCTCTGAACTGCACGGTAAAGATCGCGAGTTTCTGTAATGGCTGGCAATCACTTAGGAACTAGATGGGCTGTAAATGAAAGTGGTTTACTAATGAGCCATGGAAACATTTACCTCAGTGGGCCAGAGCCAGAGCTGTCTGTAGCATCTGAGATTGGACAGCAGAGTTGCATGTAATTATTTCCTTTAAAATGCGCCAGCAGTACAAGAGACATGTTTGTTTCTTGTCTTATTTTTAAAGTCACAGACTGCTCGCAGCACCTTGAAGGCGCATTGTAAAGAGAATGTGAACCAGTAGCAAAGGGCCAGTGAGACTAAAACAAAAGCACAAAGCCACGGCAGAAGAAAGGCTTTCTTTTATCTCTCGGAGAAGAAAAGATGGAGACAGACAGAGTGACTGATAGACAGACAGGCAGGGTGAGGAGATAACCTCTTGATAATATCTGAAAGCAGTGTTGAGTGCTTGACACTGATGAAGCGAGATTGATGCCCTTCAAACTCCAGCAATTTCTCTCCACCCCTCTACCTCTGTTCATTTCTCCTGCCACCCCCCTCCAAACCTCTTCCCCCCAAAATACATTGTCTACACCCCCTTTCTCCCTGCATATCTCACATGGCAGCTATAAAATGCCTGCAAGCGCTGGCTGTATAAAAGGAAATGGGGTGTGGGGTGATGATGATATGGGTTTGGGGAGAAATGAAAAAAAAAATGGAGACGAGACCCAGAGGAAACCTTCTGAGCTGATGTTTCCAGTTTTAGGGTGAAAGAAGAAGAGCATGGAGGGAGTCCTGACAGTTAATCATCCTCAGCTCTCGTGGTCTTTTCTTACTGTGCAGTTCCTTCTTGTTCACTCCCATCCAGAAACTCTCATTTGTGGATTTTTGTTTTTCCCTCCCAGCTTTGCTTCACACTAAACTCACAAGAGCCAGGATAAAAACTTGTTTTCTTTCTGCCACACTCTGATATCATTTCTCTCTCCCGTCACCCTCATTAATTCGACACATCACTGATGCCAGTCTTGCCATTTTCAGTATTTGCTGCCCCCTAGTGGCTGTACACGTCCAAAACCAAAAATCTCCATATTTTCAGATGGCATTTAGTATGAGAATTGTAGCACCAAGAAATGAAGTCTAAGATTAACTGTTTTAATCTTAGACTTTTAATCAACTAAATGTCATAAGACTATACTGGGCTGAAATCTAAAGTTGATTCGGTCGACTAAAAGATAAAGTGTAAAGTTTGTCATGTTTTTACTGGTGATGGTTGCTCCACACAGTTTACAAAGCAGCTTATTTTTCTTATTTTTGAAACGTGGCTATGTGTCGTGTTTTCTTTTCCTCCCAAGTGAATATAATCAGGGAAATAAACAAAAAGACCTGTACTGTTACCTGGGGGCAGATCAAATTTTTGTTTAGCCTTGTTCCAAAAAGAGAACTTCTAATTGGATCACTAAACTCGTCCCAGCCTTATTCACAACTTAATTAGTTCTGATTTGATCTCATCTCTCCAGAAACTTTTCAACTCATTTTTAATCATTGACGAAAGTGTCAATACATTCGATCACAGATTTTGTCCATATATTTGTCTGCATAAATTTTTGCTTACCTATCGTCTTGTTTGTGTCAGAAAACTGTGATGAAAATATGGGGATATCTTGGGATGATATCTGGCATTAGATTAGCTGACCATAGTGAAACAGTAGAACAGTAGCATTAATGAGACGTTCCATTTTTTTGCACCTACATGCAGACAACCCTGCAAACAAGAAGCCAGTGGAGATAGAAAAGCCTGACAATCATCTCCCTGTGGAGGTGGTGCAGCCTGTGGAGCGGGACCCAGGTGAGCCCCCCCAGATTAAAGGACCAGTTGATCTATCGAAGGAGAAGAAGGACGAGGAGGTGCAGTTGGATCGTCCTGATGCGGGTAAGGAAACTGAACCAAAATCGGAACATTAACTGGATGTCGAACTTGTAAGGATTTCCATTTCTTATTTATCCAGGTGTGGCAGTGCCAGAGGGAGAGGCCCATCGTCACGAACCACCCATTCCTCATGACAAAGTCATGGTAGACAGAAGAAAGAACATTGCAGAGCTGAAAGATGAAAACAAACAACCTGTTGCTGCAGAAGGTGGTGAAGAAAAACCTCTAAGAGGCAACGAGCAAGATTTCGAGAATGCTTTGAAGGTGGAAAGCAAAGATGACAAGGTTGATGAAAAACCTGCAAAAGAAGAGGATCTGGGTAGAGGTGAAGTCTTGTCGAACGAGCTGGTTGATAAGCCTGTTGCAGAAGCAGGCAAAAAGTTGGATGTTGCCCCATTAAAGGAGGGTGAGAATCTCAATGCTGGTAAAGAGCCCCTTGCAGATAATGCAGGTGTAGTAGCCAATCAGGCTGCAGAAGCCAATCAGGATGCGGCAGCCCAAGTCCATAAAGTGGGGAAAGCTGCAGATGCTGCAGAGAAAGGTGAGCATTTCAAGCTCTTTAACTGTTGGTTAAGCAAAATGATGAAAAAGGCATTCTAAGAGAGTGTTTGTGATATGTAATGACCTTTTAGCTCCACCTGCTGAAGGAGAGCATCGCCCTGCTGGAGAAGAGGCTCCAGCTGCTGAAGGCAAAGATGCAGCAGATGACAAGATGGAAGGTAAGTGGAGTAGACATGTTCAATAAAATTCAAAGTTAAATTCATTTATTTAGTACCTGCCAATTTTTTCAGCATGTTGGACTGTTGTCTAACAGTCATGCAGATTCTAGGGTTTTTTTGTTTTTGTTTTTGTTTTGTTTTTTTTGGGGGGGGGGGGTTGCAGCTAAATGTAACATAGTAATTTAAAGATTAAGATGCTGAAAGTGATGTCAAACCTAAAATGTAGCTGCAGCTTTTTGGAAACCATGACCTGCTCTTGGTCAGGGGAAATGCCCTCACATTTGTGCAGACACTGACTTGGGTTTTTATTTTATATTAATAGTTTGCTAAAATGTGGTCCAGGCTTTCCTTATCTGTGTCACTGTGTAACACTGGCATAATAACTTTGTAGCAGAGCTTGCTAAGCATGGAAAGAGCTGCTGCCTGAATGGAATCCAGATGCACCCTAATTGTCCCACTAGAGCCACTTCCGCCAACTCTGACTTTAAATTGCTTCCGCTGTGAGCAACACATACGAGACGTTCTCTTGTTTCCAGCAAGACTCAATACAAGAGTCTCCATGCATTCACTGCATCTGAGAAGCTGAAGACCTAGTGAATTACCTTTATGGCCACAACATTGTCCCAACATTAATGGGAAAATCCCAGTACATTTATCTTTATATTTATATTGTTCTAATTTTCAAATACCAAATATTTTCTTACAAAATCACTTTGCTGAAGTTGACATGTTTAAGGCAGCAGGTGTGTTGGTGTTGGTTATATTTAGAAGACGACTTGTTGTTTCCAGCTCTTAGAGAGCTGTACTGGATGTATGTAGCCAATGTTGATTCGCTAATGTGGTATCGACTGACCAATCAGAGCAGACTGAGCTTTCCAGAGGCAGGATTTGAAGAGACAGGAGGTAAAACGTTGTTTCAGAGTAAAAGGATCTGCTGCAGGGAAATCAGCATGTGAAAAAAAGTGTTTTTGAACATTAAAAATGTCAAACTGGTAAAATTGTGAAACTTTAACTAAGTGAGGACTTTATTTAAAAATGAAATGCTGGACATTAAAATCTAAATATGAAGTCAGGTTACAGGAAAGGCTCAATAAATAAATAAATAAATAACAAACACTTAATTTAACCTCTTTTTTACTGGGTGAAAGAGTGATGATGCAGTATTCCTCTTATTGGCTAATTTAGACTGCTATGTAGCCCACTTCCTCTCTTTCTTTTCTCTTGCTTCGCTTGTTTTATCTTAATGATCCCTTCTTGCCTATTATTCCCTGTTTGATGGTGTTAAAAAGGAAAAAGAAGTACAGATGTTTCCTCTCACTTCTTGACTTAGCTCGATCCTCTTTTTTGGCTTTTGTTGACTTTCTCATTCTGTTATTCTGTTGTTTACTTTTGCCTTCTCTTCCTTTTTTCTCCATCTTTTCTTTCTGTCTCTGCCGGACTCCTGTCGCAGTGATAAAAAAGCTGGTTGCAGGTATGAACTCCCTCTTGCCTCTTCTTCAGTTTATCTCAATCTGTCTATCACTCAAATTTTTAAACATTTATAAAATGGCTCATCTTTTTTTTAAAAGAAATGATTGCTTATACAGTCATGTGTGTTTTATGTTTGTGTGTGTTTATATTTAAACTTAATACTAGTAAACTAAACAAAGCACCCACTCACATTGCCTCTTAACATAATCTGTGTCCACACACTGCCTGTTTAAGGCTACAGTCTAGAAGAGCGTGTTAACTGGAAGTAGTAGATTATTAACTGTTTCCTGTCTGCCCCCCTCACCCCCAGAGTCTGGCCCTAGTTTTATTAAGCCTCCTAACTAATGCCCTGTTCTCTGAACAGGTCGTTACTTATTTTAATTAAATGTTTCTGAATGGTTTGTTTCCATGTAGAGGGTCAGCTGGACCACGCGGTGCTTCTGCAGGTCATTAAGGAGCAACAAGAACAACAGAAAAGGCTTCTGGACCAACAGGAAAAACTATTGGCTGTCATAGAAGAACAACACAAGGAAATCCACCAGAAACAACCTGCTGGTGTGTATATATATTTTTGTAGTCATGACAACTTGTAAAGAAAACACAGCTATTATAGGTGGTGGCCCTTAACTTAAATGTAATGTTTTTGCATTTAAAGGGGGCGCTGCTGAAGGCGATGGTGAGAAAGGCATCCAAGGACAACCAGAGATGATGGAAGGTGGAGCAGCAAAACCTAAGGAGTCTGGACTGGAGCAGCCCAAGGAGGGAGCTGGAGCTCCACAGGATGGAGGAAATGAGGCTCATGCTCTGGCCCAGAATCAAGCTCAGGTTGAAGATAAAGGTGCTGAAGCTAACCCTGCAAAAGTAGCCGTACCAGCAGCTTACAAGGAGGATGCAAATGTTGCACTCGCAGGAGAATCACATAAGGAAAGTGAGGTCGGGGCGAGGGGAGTGCCATTGGGAAAGCAAAAACTTAAACCTGTAGCTCAGAATGATCAGTTACCAGAAGAAGAGGCAATTGAAAAACTTAAGAAAGAAATGGTAGGGAAAGAAGATCAGGCAAAACAAGGAAAAGAACGGCTGGAGAGGGAAATGAAGGAGAAGCTAGCCAGGGAAGAGGAGTTAGAGAGGGAAAGATCAGAGAGAGAAAGGATAGAGAAAGAAGTTCAGGCAAGATTAGAAAAAGAACGGCTAGAAATGGAGAGAAAAGAAAAGAAAAGGCTAGAGGAAGAAAGGATAGAAAAGGAAAGACAGGAAATGGTGGCCAAACAAGAGTTGGAGAGGGAAAAGATAGAGAAAGAAGTTCGAGAAAGGCTGGAAAAAGAACGACTGGAAAGGGAAATAAAAGAGAATCTGATCAGAGAGCAAGAGCTTGAGAAAGAAAAAGCATTAAAAGAGAAACTTGCACGCGACAAAGCTGCAAAAGAGCGATATGAGCAGGAGCTGCAGAAAGCTGACAATGAAATACTTGATAAAGCAAAGAAAGAGGAGGCATTGCAGGAGGCTCAGGAGAGGCTGCTTCAGCTGCAGCAGGCCATAGAAGCTCAAAATGCTGGAAAAGCTGCACAGGGGGGCAAGATAGATGATGGTGAGGCTTTGAAGAAAGGAGGACGAGACCTCAAAGAGAAAGCTGCTGCTCAGCCAGAACCCGGAGAAGGGGAGGAAGATGGCGAGGTTCACCCCCAGGGCTCCCACGAGAAAGTTAGGAAGCAGGGAGAGATAGATCTGAAGCGGAGGCGTAGGTCACTCGGAGAGGCTAGAGGGCCCCTGGAGGACACTGAGGCGTCCAGGGGCGTTCCAGGGTTGGAGCCCCTGCTGGAGCTGGGGGGGCAAGATCTGCACGCAGCCCTGGAGGGGCAGCTACTGGCTGGGGCAAGGCTACACACACGGCAGATTAAACAGGCCTCAGAGGATGAAGAAGCTAAATAACACACACACATTCTTATTTAGCGGTCAAACACATACTGTAGACCTGCAGAACCTCTAATACTGTGGACCGTGATATTGCTGCCTTACATTCTCTTTTGCCTTCGGAGTTGTTAAGAAGTGGACTGTGTTGTTTTTCTTGATACTGTGTAATCTGCCAGGAACCCAAAGTCTTTATCAAAGAGCAAAAGTGAATGTAAATATTAACTTATTTTTGTTTCCAGAGAAAATTTTGAAGAGGTCAATGTTTAAAGTGTACATACATCTATGCAAATACCTTTCTGTGGAGCGTTTTTGACAGGGACGATATTGGTATTTGAGTCACATGTACTCCTTTTGTCATTCAGTTGTTCCTTGGTCTTTGTAAATGTTGTAAATGCTTTTAAATGTGATCCATGTATTTTCTTATAGAACCCGTTTACTCCAAATTTAATGTACTGTGGCTTCAGGCCCCTTGATAGTGTTTTTGCTTTATGCTTTCAAAATGAGGTATTTAACTACACGCTGGAGTTTTGAGATATAGAGTAGCCTTACTATTTCCATAAACTGTGGACAACAGAGCAGCTCGAACCAGACAACCTGGATCAATACCTGTAGTTTCTAATCATTCCATCTTTATTCCTAGTATTTCTTCCAGGTTGATTTATTAGTGCCTTTCACTTAACATACTACAGCGTATATTTTATTCAAACAAAATGTGCAGTTTTTTCCCTCAATATCTGGTCTTTTTCTTCCACTAAATGATCTTATTTGAAGATATAATATAATGGAAGGTATTTTGGACTTCTGTATTCTCTTTTATTGGCTAGCACTTCAACACATTGGACCTTTGCTTTATAAAAGAGGCTATTTTTGTGACTATTTTTCTACATGCATGTTATTTCTGTACATTTTGCTGATAAAAATTAATAAAGCTCATATATCGAAACATCAAAGTCAGGGTTTTATTTATTTACACACAGACACACACAGGTTTTCACGTTAAAGACTACGGCAGTTCTTAATGGCTTATCTCAACCACACTGACGAAAAACTGTGTTCTTAGCATCAAAAGTCAGTCACTTGGTCTTCTTGAGATTGGTCCAGATAAGCCTGATTTCCATTCATCTGGCTCTTTTTTTGGCCTGTAATAAAATCAAATATATAAATAGTTAAATGGATAACATTAAACAGAACTTTCAGTGTGACAGTTGCTGACGCTGGCACTTACTGCGTTGGTAAAGCAGATCTTCAGTGCTTCAAACTCTTTGGCACACAGATCCTTCCTCAGCTCCTGTGTGCCTGTTGTGGTTGCAGCTACACACTTTCCATACACTGCTGCCTGAATAACACACAAATTAAAACGTCACAGGAAGCACATTTGTCAATGTAATAAATAACTGCATTACTTTAATTATTTGGACCAGTTTTATTAACAAATGTACCCATTTTTATTAACTTAATATCCACTGTTTCGTTTATTAAGAATTGGCACATTAACTTTATTGCCAAAAAATCACCAGAAGCTAAACCATGCTCTAAAATGTTAACTAGGTAAATCTAGTGATAAAAAATAATAATACAATACAAACAAGTGCTTATGTGCGCTTTAAAGAATAATTAACTGGTATGTCTTTTTGTAAACTACATCTTGAGATAATAAAGTACATGGCAGCACGTGTATATTGTTAAAAGCTTAAATGAGGAAATATTTTGGATGTCCCCTACTGGGAGCTGCTGCAGAGATGGCAGCTGGCTTTGATGGGAGAGGCAGCTAAGTTTAATCATATCTAATGAGAAGAAGAGAGGTTCCAGAGTTGAACCCGTTCAAAGGATAATCTACCAAGCAGTATTTTTCCACCATGTACTTACCTCGTTCGCACACTGTGCAAAACGTTCCGGGAAAAGTCTCATTTTCTCCCTAGTGCGACTCCAGACATTTGACCCAGACATGGTGCTGTTCAGGCGTAAATAGATTTGTTTTAATATCTGGTATTTTTTTTTAAGTCAACGATTTAAAAAAAACGAAGCAGCAATATTTTCGTGTCAAATAGTTTCTTAAGATCTCTGACAACTCAAAAGAACCGAAATTATTTTTATTATACAACTAACAGACGGAGCTCCGGTGAAAACCCTGGGCAGCGCCATGTTGACGACTGTTTACGCCCATAAAAAATCTGAACTATGATTCGTTCATTTCCTTGTCAGAAAAAACCATTTCTGAAGATTGATTCGTCATGTTTCAACTCCTGGTTTAACCAGAACGCCAATAGAGTCGAGGATTGCTGCTTAGTGTTTTGTTATTGGCTAGCGGTCACCTCAAGCCCCGCCTTTCCATCGTACACCTCGAAGGAAGATGAGTAACCCGCAGCTGGGACTGCTAAATCATGGCAACATTTATGGAACGATTAGCCTTTCTTCAGAAAGTAAGTAATATCGACAGTCGTTATTTAAAAAAAGAACACAGAGAAGCCGAAACGAACACGTTAAATGTCACGTAGCGTTGACGTACTTATTATTTAAATCTATTAGCTTTTGCGAAACCATAGCTTTCTTTTAGCCTGCTAGCTAACAACCTTAACCAACATCTTTTGGCTTTTTACTTTCTGTTTTTCACTGGACGTGTCAGGTTGTTTCGTTAAAACTTAATGCTGCACACTGGTTTAAGGGTCAGTTTGCGGTCAACTGAAGTGGTAAACCACAATTTCGTCTAACTATCCAAGGTGCCCACCCTGATGAAGGCTACAGCAGATGATGAAAACCCCTGTCCTGGCTACCTTTTCCAGGAGATTGGAAGTATCCTTTAGCTGCTTCTGTTGTTGATCTGCAAAAAGTTCCTACTCCTGCTGGCCTCTTTTGCATCTTAGAGCTGTATAAGTAGGCTGTGGCCATGACTTTACATAATCACTGATGGGTACATACCTTGAGCATGGCTAGGATATACCCGCTAAACCATGGGAATAGTAATTCCTGTGTGATTAAGTGTTATATCCTTAATTCTAAGCACACTGTAGAAATCTCCCATGAGTCTTCAGGTTGTGGTCAGTGTTTGTTGGAATACCTCCTGGAGAGGCTACAAGTGGAGTCCTGTCATGTCAAACTGAAGGTGAGAGAATTGATTTTGCTACTGTTTCTGTCTCTTTAAAGGACCTGTACATTGCTAATTGCAGTTTATGAGTAAGTGTGGGTTCTGTTCTTGCTTCTGGTGTATCAGGTGCTGAAGATCTTTGTCCACCTCTGTGGTCATGGGTCCAACCATTTCCTCACAGAACTCAGAAGGAACTCCACCTTCATCCAGCAAGCATCCGGTTAGATTGTACTCATTTGTGCGTTCAACTTTCATTATTTTGCTGCTGCCATTGTTCATAAATATTCACTTTGGGTAATTTTTATTTGATAAGTTTACAGCGGCCCTCCTGATCCCATCCATGGCACAGCATTATATGAGAAAGTGAGGAATACAGCACAGGTACGACATGGGTTGTTTTGTATTTTCATCTCAATATAGTTAGTTACACAGAAAGGGAAGGTGGCTTGAATAAGAACTTTTTTTCTTTGCTGTTCATCCATTTACAGGAAGTGGCCCGCTTACTTTTCACAGATGTCATTCCCTCCAAAAACAGTATTTCTTCACTTAACCTTGCCCCCCCGACAATGGGTAAGTGCTAACACACATTGATTATGACCATAAACGGCACTCATCTTTCAAAGATGGGCAGGCGGGCGACGTGGACACCAAAGTTTGTGAAAGTGATAACTCAAAAATGAATTAGAAAGTATAATTTTCCTGATGAAAGATATAAGCTTTAAAGACTTAAAGACCCAAATATATGTACTGCGTCCTGTATGCCAAACTATTGTACATCACTTTGCTACCAGGTTTGACTTTAGCACCATGTAATAAACAAGTAATAGAAGAGAATGGGTATCTGTAGATGGGATGAAAGAAGTAGTCATTAAATTGCATTGTGTGTACAATAGTTAATTTGTTTCATTCTCTTTAGGTATGGGATCGGCCACTTCCCACAGATCAGGAATGCAGGGTTTTGGATACAGTCCAAGAAAGCAGGGGACAGGTGATGGAAGCCGAGCTGCACAGTACATACAAATCAAACTTACTGCGTGTGTAAATTTCTGGACCTTTGCCTTGCAGCAGGCAGCGACTCACTTCTGGATAAGATTCAGAAAGCAGCCGAGGTGGTGGCGAGCGCTGTCCTTCCCCCTACTGAGCATCAGGGGATCCGTCTCCATGACAACCATTACCGGGCCGTGGTGGCGCCTTCTGCACCCATAGAGGTGGCCGTGCCAGCGTGTGCCTATAATCTGCCTGCTTGTAGACCGAAAGGTCAGAAATGAAGCTGGTACAATTACGCATTTTATTGAGGCAAGATTGAGAAAAAGTATAAACTGAAGCCTTAGTAGCGAACAGATGTTTATAAATTAAGGTTTTCCTCATGTGTCTTCACTTCACCAGTGACTAAGTGGTGTCCGGGGCAGGTAGGAGGTGGCTGGGAAGAGACGGACAGTGGCAACAGCTCCTCTCACAACTCCTCTCAGGACATCGCTGCCAATAGCAGGGCGTCGGTGGGCAGCAAGTCAGCTGGCACAGGAAGCCAATCAGGGGCCAGCAGGGAGAGCAGTGGGGACCTATCAGATCGGTCAGTGTCAAAAAAGTTTAACCTTTTTAACACATCATGCCCTCGAGCCTTTTTTTTCCTTTTTAATGCATCAGCTGAGAGCAGGTACTGGATTTTAAACAGACTTTACACAATGCCTGTACAGTGACAGTGCATTTAATCTCCTGTTGTGTGACACACGAGAAAAGGAAACATCAGAAAATTGTTCATGTTTGAAGAGGGCTTTAGTTTGTTAAACCAGCTGTTTTTATTCCAGTGCAGTCACATTTAGGAGCTTGTAGCATAATCTCCAAATGTTCTGTGTGCAGTTTGTACAATTTACTGTTTACTGGTCACCTAAGAATAAACCTTTTGCCAGGATTTTTTTTTTATGCAGTAAGGCATGTTCCTGAGCATTATAAGCCTGTGTTTTCTTTAAGTTTGTTACTTTCCTCTCATACTTTGTGTGGTTTCCAGGGTGGAGGCCTTGCAGCTAGGGGATTGTGGTCAGGAGATGGCACTCATCAATAAACTGACTGAAGGCTCCAAAGTTTTCCTTTCCAGAGAGGAGAGCCAACACTTCATCAAAGAGTCAGTGCACCAAAACCCCATTGAAAACACAACAGCTGGTTCTTTTCTACAAGCTGGTTTCTCATTTTTAATTTGTTTTTAGTAAACTCCTGATTGTATTCAGTTGCCTTTTTTAATATTATTAATTGAGCTATTTTCATCTTATTATATATTTTTGTGCTCCTGCTTTTGTGTTATTTTTATTTAATTCAACTATTTTACTCTATTCTATTTTAAGCTTTTTTATTGGTTGTTTTGGTTTCTGTGATGCAGTAAATTGTTGGGACTTGTGGCACGATTTCAGTCTCTTTTTTTTTTCCTTGGTTTTTTTTTAAACTCTGTCAGGTGCTCCATTCTTAACTGTGAGGTTGTGGTGGAGTTGCTGTCTTGCAAGCTTCAAGATCCTTCCTACACCATTAAGATGGTAACAATGAGAAGACATCGAAAATCAGAATTCTTTGTTTCAGCTTTACTCTGATTATAGTGTTGTTCGTCTACTCTTGCAGCGGGCGCTGTGTGCTGTCGCATCCCTGATGACCTCTGACCTCCTCTCTCTGGAACAAATGTTTGGAGCCACACAGCACAGACTTCGCCAGCTGAGCGAGGGCCCTCCAGGACCGGTGGCAAATAAAGCCACCAAGGTAAACGAAGCAGAGGGAGACTACTTTACTACTTAAGGACAAGTAGTAAACCCAATAATACTTATTTGTGCTTTTTATTTTAAATCTGTGTATCTCCTCTGACTAGATCTTGCGACAGTTTGAGGCTTTGATGGGCGGCTCTCTGCATGCTTCCAGGCAGGATGCAGTGAACAGCCATCAGGCAACAGTGAATCAGCTTCACACCTCTAGCAGCAATTTACTGCCAACACACTTGTTTGACAGTTTCAAACTTCAACAGCCGGACACTTCATCTGCAGGTGTCACTCAACCACCAAAGCACCCATCTCCCCCTCCTAGTCAGGATCTGGCTCAGAGCCACGAATTAGCAGAAGATCAGGTCCAACCAGTAAGGACAGCCGAGGTGAGACTGCATGCTGAAGATTCCGAGTCTGTTCAAGATAAAAGCACCCTTGCTTCATGTGAACCTCAGAGTAAGCCACACCCCCAGAGCAGACTGTCTCTGTTCAGTGGCATGGAGCTGGTGACCAAAGGAAGGTCGCTGTTTAACAGTGAAACATCACATGCAGAAGTGGAGGACAAAATAAGCGACAGGATAAAGGAGATGGACGCTGTGCATAAGTCCGATTGTTCAGTGAACTCATCTATCACCAGTAAAACCAGTGAGGATGTTCCCTCAGTTTGCAGTTCCTCTGCATCTAATTGCAGCCAGTCAGTATCAGCTTTCTCCTTTCTCAACTTTTGATTGCAGGCAACCGTTTAGAGCTGTTCTACTTTAAACCAATGATGTCATCATGCGTTGATCCTTTTGGAAACCTGTTTAATGTTCCAAACCAAGATCCAACCAGTTAAGTTGTAAGTGGATAGCAGATTCTAATTCAGTTTCTTTTATCTGTGTGCCTCTTCAGAAGCCAAGAGAGAGATTTGGGACTCATAAATAGAGCCTGCAGATCATGTCCATCTATGGATGGTTTGTCTTCTTAAAGACAGGTCTTTGTCTGCTGCAGTGTATGTTAAAAGTATTTAATGACTGAAGTTGTCTTGAATAAGAGGTCTTTACTCTGCCTTACAAAGTCACAGGACAATAACTGCAGAAACCATGAAATGAGAGATCTTTGTAACATTTATTTTAGAAAACCTAACTGTTAAGGGGGGCGACTTATGCTGTTTTTCCACCTCCGTATCTTTAATCCAAGACTCTTGTGCAGCTTTGCATGACATTACACTTCAAAATCACATTCATTTATGTCATACTGGGCCTCAGTGCAGCTCATCAGTTCATCCTCACCGTCAGAAACGAGCTGTATTTTACTCTTCTGTGCTCATGGCCAGATCTGTGTACCTGAG